ACACATTTACGGATGCTATGGCCAAGACGTTTCATTGCTAGAACAAAGAGGTATGGAGAAAGTGGGTTACCTTGTCGGATACCCCGTTCTGGTTGGAACGCAGAAGAATTCTCACCATTCCATTGGATTTGCATAGAGGTCGAAGTGATACAGTGCATTATGAGTCGGATAGTGCATGGTGGAAAGCCAGCTTCAGTGAGCGAGTCTTGAATGAACTCCCATCGGAGGCTATCAAAAGCTTTTTCAAGATCCATCTTAATTGCCATCCAACCTTGCTTTGTCTTGAGTTGGCGCATGGAATGGATTACCTCCTGATTTATAATGATGTTTTCAGTGATAGAGCGGCCAGCGACGAAGCTTGTTTGATTCGGCATGATCAGAATAGGCATCACTTGTTTTATGCGACGGACAATAATTTTTGTGATGAGTTTGTACATAACTGTGCATAAGCTGATGGGATGGAAGTCCGCAAAAGTTTCAGGTCCTTCTTTTTTTGAGATTAGAACAAGCACAGTTTTGTTTAGGTCGGCTTCAATGTCACCTCCTGCAAAAACGTTTTTCACCATGCTGCAGACAGATTGACCCACCACGTGCCATTATTATTGGAAAAATTCTACATTGAGGCCATCATGTCTCGGTGCTTTTAGGGGAGCCATATCCTTAAGAGCTTCATAGATTTCCTTTTCATCGGGTTCAATGGACATAGAATCCTTTAAATGAGTCGGAATAGCCGGAAAGTAACCTGAAATTGGAAAATTCCCTACTACGTCCTCATCGCATGCATAGATATTCCTGAAAAAATTAACCGCTTCTTCCTTAAGTTTATTCGTATCAAAGCACCAATCATTTAGAGGAAGTTTAAGGGCCAAGATTCGGCTCTTTTGCTTTCGCTGTAAGGCACTTCTATGGAAGTATTTTGTGTTTCGGTCACCTTGGGTAGCCTAATTTATTCTTGAGCGTTGTTTCCATAGAATTTCCTCTTGATCTAGGAGCTGTTCTAACTCGGTGAGGAGTTCGGTTTCAAGATTGATAAAGAAAGCCAAATGATGTTTATTGAGGCTTTTGTGTATTCCTCGAAGTCTTGCCATAATTATCTTCTCTTTTGTGCCAATATAACCAAACACCGTTTTATTCCATATATCAGCTGCATTAGTAAAAAGGGTGATAGTGTCCGAAAGAGACTCATAGTTTACCCAGTTATCCTTCACCATTCAATTGAAATCATCATGTTGTAACCAGCCAGAGAAATATCTGAATTGAGTCGGGCGAAGGCTAGATGTAGAGCTGCCAACACAAAGGAGAATTGGTCTGTGATCAGACCGCATGCGATGAAGATGATGTATGGATGTTTCAGGATACGATTCATCCCATTTGCTATTACATAAAGCTATGTCAAGACGAGTGTAAGAGAGACCCCGATTCCACGTGAATTCAGGACCTTGGAATCCCATGTCACGGATGCCGAAATCATAAACAAAATCCTGGAAATTTTGCAAGGCCGAGTAGAAATTGCACCATTCATCCGATCCGAAGCAGTGGGTGTGTAATTAAAATCTCCAAACATGATCCAAGGGGAGGTAATATTTCCAGCGAGGGATCGAAGGTGAGGCCATAGTTCTTTTCTCTTTGTTGCATTTGGGCTGGCATATATAATGGTTGCCAAAGTCGAGAACTTGCCATAGGTGGTAGCTATACGGCAGTGGATAAACTGCAAATGATTGAGGAGTATTTCGATATGGATGTTTTCGCGCCAGTATAACAATATGCCTCTTGAAAAACCTACAGCTTCAATGCGGTGAGAGCGATCGAAACCAGTGGCGGCGATGAAAGCATCAGCTCTGCTCCCACTTATCCGGGTTCAAGGATTGTTACTAAATCCGGTTTAAAGTCGTGCAAATATTGCCGAAAAGCCATGAGAAAACGCGGGTGACCACATCCCTATACATTCCAACATATTATTTTAACATCCATAAAGAAATATAAGTATAGAAACCAAATCATTCCTGCATGGGAATCGTTTGGTTGTCAGTGCAAATATTCTGCATGGCATCATCTCGTTGAGCAAGACTAGTAGCATCAACTTATGTTCTTTTAAAAAATGCTTCACTCGATTGAATTTGGTTTATATCGGGTGGTTCTCGTGGTATGGATTTGTGTTGGGTGGTTCCGCACATGGCTTACAAGTTCATGTCATCAATAATGTTTGGATTTGTGTTTTCGGCTAGAACGATGGCCGAATGTTTCGACCTGTCCAGTATTGTAACACGTGGTTCAACATTGCTTTGGCGGGATTGGTTGATGGATTGACCCTAGCTTTCTTTCGAATATCTAACAGTGATCTTGGGGATCATTAGTGGTTTACGGGCAAGAGTAGCCATCTTGTTTTTAGTAGCATGTTGACTGTTGGAGTTGATTTTGCTGGATTGTGCGTGATTAGCTGAAGAAAGAGCATTAGTCGCATGGGAAGCATGAGAGACATTCGGGCCATGAGAAACATGATGAGCATGAGGAGTCTGAGCAGTATTTGGCGTGTGAGTAACTTTATTGGTATATGTAGCTTGGTTATCAAATGCAACAGCAGTAACATCATCGGCTGATTCATAAAGAGGATTAAAACGTGAACCATTGTTCTCCAGATTTTATCCTTTATCCGCTGGAGGTTTTTTACTGCTTTTCCGTTACCTTCGCTCAACAACCATCCATGGTCCAAATGGTTCAGAGCTTTGGTTGGCAGTCGACAATTGTGGCATGAATTTATTTATGATTTTATTACTGATAAATATTTTTTTTAAATGATTTATTAAACAAACTTTCATATGTAAACTATTTTTGAGGTCAGTGTGGTTATCCTGATTCAGTTGTAACTCTTAGGTTAGGTCTAGTGTTATAAAAGTTATCTTGTGTAAATATATAATATTGGAACGACTAACATCAATGGAATAAAATAATAAACATGATCATGGAGGGTTTAAATATTTATAGAAGAGATTTGTAGTACTATGCATATTCCTTCCAACCTAGGATTCTCTTATGCTAACCAAACTACAGTTTTCTTTCAATGTAATGGAGATAGGTTTAAAAAGAACAAAGACATAAATTCCATCTGTAATAATCTGCTGCTTATAGTTCCAACCATCTTAAAATTTCAAGCAGAATTGTGATTAACCCTAAGATTATGAAGAATAAACCATGTTGAAAACATTTTTGATATTTCGATATAACAAATTAAGTTAAATGAATTTTAAGATTTTACAAATGATTTTACAAATTTATATTCGATTCAATTAACCGAATATCAAATTATTACTCCAAGTTTTTCAAGATCAATTTAAATCCTTACTAAATGTGTAAAATTGTGATTTCTACTTAAACTATTTTTGAAACAATTTTCACAAAGTATTTTGAACCAAAAACAAGCCTTAAATCAATTATTCAAAGGCATGCACCGATGCATCAGTCCATGCATCGATGCATCGATGAATTAATTGAACATCGAATGCATTCCATGCACCGATGCACTCTCCATGCATCGATGCACTCTGGATATTTTCAAAACATCGAATGCATTTGATGCATCGATGCACAAGCCATGCATCGATGCACCAGGCTATTTTTCAAACATCGAATGCATTTCATGCATCGATGCACACTTGGTGCACCGATGCATCAAGTGTTCCAACGGTCAAAATATTTGAATTTTACACTGATGCACCGATGCATCCTCCATCATGCATCGATGCATGATACGCTCCACCCAGAAAATTAATTGTTTTCACACTTAAACGGCTCTATTATCCCCACTAATTATCACCAACGTTCAGAATTGATTCAAGGGGTATTTAAACAAGTTCTGGAGCCATTGATCAACAACAAGAAACATCAAGCAACTAGAATCAAGAGAGAATCAAAGATAAAGCATCAAACCTCAAGTTTGAGCATTTCAAGCCTATTCTTCATTCAATATTCATTTTTCTTTCAAGAACACTTTTGTACTCAATTGTATTCATCTTTGAGTGTTCTTTTCTTTGTTCTAGAATTGTGCAAACAATCAACCTTGTGAGGATTTCCTTGTAAGTTTGCAAATTTGTATTGTTCTCTTTGGGAGAGAGTTTTCTCAAGAATTTGGGGTATAATTCTTGAGGGTTTGTAAGGTTACTCTTTGTCCTCAAAAGAAAGACAAATTAGTGAATTTGTGGAAAATCCTTAGTGTGGATAGCTAAGGTAGTGGACGTAGACTTTGGTTGAGAAAGTCGAACCATTCTAAATCGCTGTGCAAATCTTTTCAATTTTCTGCAAAAGCTTCCACAGAAATTTTTATTGCCAATTCACCCCCTCTTGGCCGATTCCGTCAATCGATTAACTCAACAAACCAGACAAAAGACACCTAGCGAAACTGTAATAACCCTATGTACTTCTATGGCTAACAAAGGTTAATTTCAACTGGCATGATTTGCTCAATCCATATTCTAGAATTGCAAACGTAATACTGCAGGAACAAGATTGTTTCAACTCAAACAACGAGTCCCTGTCACCTGAATAACAATGAGCTGAACTAATCTTTTTAACATGTACCAACCACAGGTTACAAGCAAAGGGAACATTATTTGAAAATTCTCTCTAAAACTAGATACACCGAAGATCGCACAGTAATACACTTTAAAGTAGAGTATTGAACGCAAATAACAGCCACCATGCAACAACTACGAAACACATGGTTGTGGGTGGTAAAGAATGGGGACCAGCTTCAATTCTCTTTCTCTTCTAGCAGTAATGCCAAAGGCCTCGTTCATGTCTAGATCCTCATTTTTAAGTCCATTAGGGAGTTTCCAATCAAAATGGTACAATAATTGTGCAAGGACAAGCTCAACAACAGCCATACCGTATGACATGCCAGTACATATCCTCCTTCCAGCACCAAAGGGAATATATTCGAAGTTAGTCCCTTTATTGTCGACTGAACTATCGATGAATCTCTCTGGATTGAACTTGTAGGGTTCATTTCAGTAGTTGGAATCTCTTCCAATTGCCCAAGCATTAACAATCACTTTGGTCTTGGCTGGTATCTCATATCCATTAATCTCACATCTCTCAGTATTTTGTCTTGGAAGTAACACAGGTAGAGGAGGGTGTAATCTTAGAGTTTCCTTGATAACTAACTTCAAGTATTTCAGTTCATGGAGATATGATTCATTGACATCCCCTGTTCCATCATAGACTCGTCTCACCTCAGCTTGTGCTTTTTCCAGGACTCTAGGATTTTTCATCATTTCCGACATTGCCCATTCTGCCATAGTTGAAGATGTCTCAGTTCCAGCTCCAATTATGTCCTGATAAGTAGTTCTACTTGGTTAAACTACAAAACATCTGTGTACAACATTCAAACAACTGAAGAAAGCAAGGTCTTGTATTTGAAAACTAAATAAAGGAACTTCACAATGATCTCACGCTTCAAGTTCTCTGATATTTGAGCATTTTAAATTTACAGGACTTCTAAACACACAAGATACTACTGAGTACTCACCAGGATAACAACTTTGATATTGTCAATTGTCAAGGGAAAATCAAGGCCTCCGTGTTGAGTATCTAGTGAGAAGATAATGAAATCATGTATATTGAATAGAGAAGATGAATTGAGTTCTTGATCTACATCCCTCTCTTCCTTATATACAGCTCTATATAGTTGTTATAGTCTTAACAGACTTTGTAACTAAACATAAACAACCTCAACTAATCATTAATAATAATATTCTAGAATCACTATGCATCATGCACTAGAGCTCGAGCAGTGTAGGAGCACGATCTTTGATGCTCACTAACTTATTATGCTAACACTCTGTGATCCTGGAGATGCAAAAGAACATCAACTAGATCATCTGTTACATCATTGATGTTCTTCGTATTTGCATTACTAGCTTTATGTTCTTCTATAATGCTTTCAAGCATCACTTCTAAGTCGTGGTGCACCCTCTCAAGTTTGACTCTCATCCCACTGATCACAGAAAGCAATTTGAAGGAAGGAAACAGATTGACAATACTAAAACTAGTTGTAAGTTCCACTAGTTTCCTCAGAATTGAAAGGAATGTTTCATGTTGCTTGCATCTTCCACCAATTGCAGTCCTTAAAGTGATGTTATATGATAAGTTGTTTAACAGTTCTCCCAGGTTGATTTCCAATCCTGTACTAGAAAATATGGATCTAAAAAAACTGGATACCTGCTCTTCTCTAATTGATCGGAATGATTATACAAATTTCATACTAAGCAGCTCCAACGTGCAAACTTTCCGAAGCTGCCTCCAATAACCTCCATATGGCCCAAAAACAATATCTGAAAAATTATAAAATACAACTTCTTCAGTAAGGAGATACGACATGTTAGCAAAATTGATATCATGCATTTTCATCACTTCTTTAGCAGCCTCTGGAGAAGAAACAACGTGTGATAATTCACCAAGTTGAAGGTGCATCACGAAACCATGCCTTTTGGCTAGTTCTGGCAAGCAGTGATGGGGAAGAGAGAAAAGTAAGAGGTGCAAGTGACCTATAATAGGCAATTTTCATGGTGCAGGAGGTAGAGTTTGGGGTGAGCCCTTTATTTTGGATCTCATCCGTAGCTTAAACACCATAAAAATGAACACTAGGAAGGCGAAAGACAATGGGAGAAACTTGAGTTGGTAATCCTGGTAGGAAATAAACCGAGTACGAGTAATTTCCCTATAACCAGATTAGTGAGAATGTGAAATAAAAGCGAAAAAATAATACCCGAAATTGATAACGGAGTTCAGCCAATTGTGCTTACGTCTCCGGACTGCTGCAGATTTTTTACTAAGAGAGAAAATTTACATGTGTTTACAAAACACTCACTACTCATAAGAAAACCCTCTAGTATTGGGAGAAAGAAATGATTTTTGGGATTTGGGATGATTTTGAAGCTAAATGAGCTAGGGTATTTATAGTTGAAACTTAGGGACTAATCTTTGAAAATACCCTAAAGTGCAATGACTAAAGTGAATTTACTCATTCCTAATTTCAACAAACATCTAGCAAACTTTACCAAACTTTGAAAAACATTTTTCAAAGAAACATTTACCAAACTTTGAAAACCATTTTCAAAGAAACATTTACCAAACTTTGAAAACCATTTCAAAGTTGGTTGCCAACCTTTGGACTTTTAACAATTTCCCACTTGAAGACTGATTTTAATATGTCTTCACACTTCGATCGATGCAGCAACATTTCTAGTCTTGTTATTCTTGCATGCCAACTGAATCTGAACACAACTTCAGTTTGTCCGTGGTCACCGTCTTTGTCAACATGTCTGCCGGATTTTGAGCTCCGCTAATCTTTTCAAGTTTCAAAATCCCATCTTCCAGAACAGACCGAAATGATATCGCAATTGTATGTGCTTCATCTTGGAATGAAAAGACGGATTCTTTGCTAGATGGATAGCAATTTGACTGTCGTAATTCAAGACATTATTGTCTTGTTTCTTGCCTATCTCTTCCAAGAAACTTTGGAGCCAGACCATCTCCTTGTTGGCTTCCGTAACAGCGATATATTCTGCTTCAGTTGTGGAGAGAGCAACTATCTTCTGTAGTTGAGAAACCCAATTCACTGCAGTACCTCCTAGAGTATAGACATACCCTGTAGTGATTTTTTTGATGTCAACATTTCCGGCTAAGTCAGCATCTACATAGCCTGTCAGTATCGTATCTCCACCTTTGAAACAAAGTGTTTTGTTTGTAGTACCCCGCAAATATCTGAGGATCCATTTGACTGCTTCCCAGTGTACCTTGCCCGGATTATTCATGTACCTGCTAACAGCTCCCACTGCATGAGCAATATCTGGTCTGGTACAAACCATGGCATACATTAGACTTCCAATTGCTGAGGCATATGGCACCTTCACCATGTGTGCACGTTCTTCCTCCGTCTTTGGTGACTGTTCTTTGGAGAGTCTAAAATGAACACCTAAAGGTGTACTTATTGGTTTAACATCTTGCATGTTAAACCTGGAGAGTACTTTGTTGATATACTCAGCCTGTGATAACATCAAAGTCCCCGACTTTGTGTCTCTCTTAATCCTCATCCCAAGAATCTGCTTTGCAGCGCCCAGATCCTTCATAGCAAACTGCTTCGACAATTTTTGCTTCAAGTTTATAATCTCTTGCATGTATGAGCCTACAAAGAGCATGTCATCAACATACAACAATAAAATAATGAAGCTATTGTCGAACCTCTTGATGTAGCAACAATGATATGATTGGCATCTGGTAAAACCACTACTACTCATGAAGCTATCAAACTTCTTGTACAATTGTCTAGGAGCTTGTTTTAAACCATACAAGCTCTTCTTCAACCTGCATACCAGGTTTTTCTTGACTGCCTCTATGAAGCCTTCTGGCTGCCTCATATAGATTTCTTCCTCCAAATCACCATGAAGGAAAACTGTCTTTACATCTAACTGCTCAAGATGTAAATTCTCTGCAGCTACAATTTTCAACACCAGTCTGATTGTGGACAGTTTTACGACTGGAGAGAAAATTTCATTGTAGTCAATACCTTCTTTTTGCTGAAAACCTTTGACAATTAATCTTGATTTGTAGTGTTTGCTCCCATCATGCTCTTCTTTGATCCTGTAAATCCACTTATTGTGGAGCGCTTTCTTGACTGGTGGTAATTCAGCTAATTCCCACGTCTGATTTGACATAAGCGAGTCCATCTCATCTTTCATGGAAGACTCCCACTTGACTGAATCCTCCACTTGCATTGCTTCATCATAGAACTCTGGTTCACCATTGTCAGTCAGCAACAAGTAGTGCAAAGAAGGAGAACACCGTTGGGTTGGTTTAGGAATTCTGGAAGAGCGTCTTAGTTCCGGTGTGCCTGGTTCTTCTTGAACTGCTTCAGGATTGATCTGAACATCATTTCCAGAAATCTCCTCGAACTCAACAAATTCCTTTGTTTCAACTTCGATGTTTGAGCTACTTGATTCTATGGTTGATCTGTCTTTGTACATCACATTCTCATTGAAAATGACATATCTGCTTCTGATAATCTTCCGATTTTCGTAGTCCCAAAACCGGTAACCGAACTCATCACCACCATAATCAACAAAGACACATTTATTGGACTTGGCATCAAGTTTACTGTGTACATAAGAAATACAACCAAACACTCTTAAGTGTGAAAGGTTTATTTCTTTCTTGCTCCAAACTTCCTTTGGTATTCTGCCATCCAAAGGAACCGAGGGCCCATGGTTGATCAAGTAAGCTGCAGTGTTGATAGCTTCAGCCCATAGAAATTTGGGCAATCCGACATGTATCCTCACGCTTCTGGCACGTTCATTCAGAGTTCTGTTCATGCGCTCTGCTATGCCATTATGCTGCGGTGTCATGGGAACTGTTATCTCTATCTTAATCCCATTATTTGTGCAGAAATCTCTGAATCTACGATTTCTGTACTCTTCTCCATTGTCAGACCTCAACCGCTTGACTTTCAGACCAGTCTCATTTTCCACCATGGCCTTCCATTTTCTGAAGGAATCAAAGACTTCTGATTTCTTCTTCAGAAAATAAACCCACACCTTCCTTGTAGAATCATCGATGAAGGTGACATAATATAATGAGCCTGTACGAGATAGAACTGAAGATGGTCCCCATACATCAGTATGAACCAACTCTAACTTTTCAGCCTTGGGTGTCTTACCAATCTTTGCAAAGCTGACTTTCTTTTGTTTGCCAAAGATGCAATCCTCGCATAGTCCGACATCTACATTCTTTAGATCCGGCAGCTTCCCTTTTGAAAAAAGTGTCTTCATCCCTTTCTTGCTCATATGGCCAAGCCTTTGGTGCCATAGGTTTGATTTTCCATCAACATCTGCTGCAGCAATGATATTCTCTAAATTTGATGTTACATAGAGAGTATCAATCTTCTTACCACGAGCAATGACGAGTGCTCCTTTTGTAATCTTCCATTCACAGCCTGAAAAGGTTGTACTATAACCTTCTTCATCAAGCTGTCCTACGGAAATCAAATTTATTTTTAGACCAGAAATATGTCTCACACCTTTCAGCGTTCAGGTGGTCTGGTTTGGCAGCTTTAGTCGGATGTCTCCTCTTCTGACGATCTTCAAGGTTTCATCATCAGCTAGATGAACCTTCCCAAAATCACCACTGACATAGTTCTCCATGATTTCTCGGCATGGGGTGGTGTGGAAAGATGTTCCTGAATCCAAGATCCATGATTCAATCGGACTGTTGACGCTTAGAATCATGGCATCACCTGTATCCTCTGTCACATTGGCAGATTCTTGTGCGCCGATATTTTTCTTCGGTGCCTGACAATCTTTTTTAAAGTGACCCTTCTTGCCGCAATTATAACAGGTAAAATCTTTCTTTCTTGTTCTTAATTTTCCCCTTCTGGATTTGGATCTGCCACGATTTGAATTTCTTTCTGAAGTTCTCTCTCTGGACTCCGTGTGCAAGGCTAAGGAGGTTGATGCTTCACCCGATTCTCTTCGTCGAATTTCTTCACTCAATACCAGATCCCGAACATCGTCGAATTTTAATTTACTATTTCCCGACGAGCTGCTGACTGCTGTAGCAGTAGCATTCCAACTGTCTGGTAGAGATGATAAGAGAATTAAAGCTCGAACTTCATCATCAAATTCAATTTCCACGGAACTCAACTGGGTTGTGATTGTGTTGAGTTCATTTAGGTGTTGAGCCACCGATGCCACTTCTGCCATCCTCAAATTGAACAATCGCCTCATCAAATGAACTTTGTTTGAGGCCGATGGCTTCTCATACATACTGGAGAGAGCCGCCATAAGACCCGCCGTGGTCTTTTCCTTTGCTATGTTGAAAGCAACATTGCAGGACAACGTCAGTCGGATAACTCCGAGGGCTTGTCTGTCGAGAAGAACCCAATCTTCATTCTTCATGCCCTCTGGTTGCTTTCCTGAGAGAGGTTGATATAGATTTTT